CCCCCCGTTATGTAAGTGTACCCCTTCAGCACATGCATGAGAACTTTGGAATTCCCCTATCACATGTGCTGTTTCACTCAAGGGGTCTTATCTATTTGGGTCTGAGGGCTTTACTTCATCTTCTCCTCTTCAGTTTCTCCTTCAAATGTGCTCTACAGACAATGAGCCAATCACAGAACACCAATTAAAACAGTTTATACAAGAAACTCTCATCTCCAAGGATGAAGCTCCTGTTTATCAGTGAACTTGGCAGGCAAAGAACAAGACTTTCACAGGTGGCTGGGCCAAACACAGACCAAAAAATATCAACATTCCCTGATACAAGGGGGCTTTGAGAAATCTGGTCTAGTGGAAGGTGTCCCTGCCTATGGCAGTGGGGTTGGAACTAAATGATCTTTAAGGTCTCTTCCAATCCAAACCATTCTATGATTAACTAGCTTCCCTGGGCCCCACTTCCCTCTAGGGCCTTATCCCACGGGACATTTCCAAACAGATCATTAAAGAGGCCAAAGTCTCCTCTCCTCAAGTCCGGGATTATAAGCTTGGTTTGCATCATCCTCTTTCCCCTCCAGATCCTGAACTCCACCATCTCTTGGTTATTGCAGCCAAGGCTGCCTTGACCTTAATAGCCTCAACAAGCCACTCCTTGCTGGTGAGTGTGAGGTCCAGCAAAGTACCTCTCCTCATTGGCACCTCTATCTCTTGGGTCAGGACCTTGACCTCCAGGAACCTCCAATATTGCTTATGCCCTGCTGTGTTGTTCCTTCAGGAGATATCAGGACAGCTCAAGTCCCCCAAGACAACCAGGGCCTGACAATACGAGGATACCATAAATCCAGAAGTTTTCCTCTATGCATATACACTGTTGCTGTATAACTCATCCATCATCTATATTGTATCTAAATCCTAGATGGAAATAACAGAAATACTGAAGCACAAGGCTAGATCGTAGAATCATAGAATGTTAAGGGGTTGGAACGGACCTTAGAGATTATGTAGTCCCAATCTCCCCTGCCATGGGCAGGGACACCTCTGTAGCAGGATGGCTCTGCCCTAGAATGTGGTCAAGCAACTCTAACAATGCCCTATTTGCAAGGCTATCAGGGGTGGACTGAGAGAGGGTATGTCTTGCTTGTTTTGGTGTTGAATTATGCTAAAACCAGTCTGGCACATCAACCCCAAATTAACATCCTCATAGTGAAGCAAAGGTTTGGCAGATAAGCTGCTAAACTGACCTGGAGATGTGACTGGCAGTCAGTCACTTTATAGTATAGAAGTCCAGTTCCACATGAATTCGGGAGATTTCTTCTAACATACTCTTCTTGGAGTGTGTGTGGACTTTTCTCCCTTGAAGTAGGGACGCCCCTCAAGGATACTTCTTGAGGTTGAGTGAAAGAGATTTTCACCCACAAGCATTGGTGTCGTGGTTTTGCCCAGCCAGTCAGCCCCTGGGGTTGAGGATGGTTTTGTCCAGGTGGATTTCTGGACAAAAAGTCAATCAAAACTCTCAGTAACGCCTTTGCTAATTACATATTTAAGAAAACGGAAGAGAAGGTGGTTACGCAGTTGGAATTAGTATCAGTAGCCATGTAGGAGAGGAGACAGGCCCCGAGTGGGCCAAGGCCCCCTCCTCCCCGGCTTGGGCTGGGGACAGGTGTGGCCCTGAAGCCCCCCTTCTCTCATGTAGGAGAGTGAAAGAAAAAAACTTTAAAGGACTGACTGCTTGGACGAAAAACTGCTGTAGAAGAATTCCGTCAGAGAGATAAGGGACCTCCAAGGTCAAAGCTGGCAGCTGCAGGAGAGAGAAGTTCGAAGGGGGGGGCTGTTTCTCCCCCCTTTCACTCTCTCCCTTCAGAAGGGAAAGGACTGAAAAATAAATCCCTGCTACCTTTTAGAAGATTGTTGGGGTGAGGAGACCCTCATGCGGCTCACAAAGGAGCTTGTGGATATACAAGGAAGCCGAGGCTTCATGAAAAGGACTGAAATGAGGCAGAGTCCTGTTGAAGATTTATGACCCTGAAAGGAATAAGGCTTACACCAGAGTGAAAACGGTTCGGGTAAGCTTGGGATCTCAGTGAGAGATCCATGCTGCTAGTGCTGGAGATTTGTGACCCTGAGAGAACCTACACTGGAGTAAGAACGGCTTGGGTAGGGATGTTGGGATCCGTGTGTGGAATCCATGCTACTGCTGAAGATTTATGATCCTGAGAGAGAGGCTTATGCCGGAGTGAGAACGGCTTGGGTAAGCTTGGGATCCAAGTGAGGGATCCATGCTAGACCCATGTTGGAGAGGTTCAAGGACTGTTCTCCCGTGGGGAGGGACCTCCACAGGAAAACAGGGGTGGACTCATAAGCCATTATCCCCTGCAATCCTGTGGTGAAGATCCATGGTAGGCAAGTGTCCCCTTGCAAGTCCATAGAAGAGAAAAACTTCAGGGCCTGGGTAACCCCCAGCCTCCGATCTTAGCCCAAGAGGATGGTAGGCCCAGCCTTGGAGGCAACAAAGAGAGATGAAAGAGTTCCAGCTGCGACGAGAGTGCTGCAAAATTATTGAAGAGACCTGGAGCTCCAAGAATGGAGAAAGAAACTACTTCTCCTCCTTGGACTGATATAAAGGGGGGAGAAGTATTTCTGTAAATACATAGTACTTTTACTTAAGTAGAATTGTTGTAGATGTAGTTCTTTAGTTTTATTTTGCTAGTAATAAATGTTAATATTATTTTCCCAAATCAGATCTCTTTTGTTTGCATAAACCTTCTCTCAATTAATAGTAATTGTGTGTGGGGGGTGTGAGAGCAAATTGACCCAGAGCAAAACCACGACATTTGGTATGGGTGAGTTACATCAAATCTCTACTTAATAATTGTTTCTGTCTTTTTTTCTAGCTTTAAGATAATTGCTTTAATATAATTGCTTTGATATAGTGCACTACACTATATTATACTATAGTAGTAGTTTTAGCTTTTATACTGTGTAGCAAAGGATTCTGATTAAGATACTTTGTCTAATCATTTGTCATAATAAATAATTCATTTAATATAAATATACCCGATTTTGCCATCTTTAACCCTGCAGGACAAAGTTGTACTTAAAACCATTGACAAAATCTGTGTCTAAGATTGGATCCAGCCACACCTAGGCTCCTCTCCGAGGAGTATGGAAAGCAAAGGGGTCCTTTCTGCACCTCATGGCTCAATGGGAGGGCTTCTCTAATAAACTTTGTCTGAAGCTTCCACTCCCACCCGCAACAACCTCCCACTAGACCAGGTTGCTCAAGGCCTCATCCAACCTGGCCTTGAACACTGCCAGGGTTGTGGCATCCACAGTCTCCCTGGGCAACCTGTCCCAGTGTCTCACCACTATCACAGTAAAGAATTTCCTCCTAATATCTAACCTAAATTTCCCCTCTTTCAATTTGTACCCATTACTCCTTGTCCTATCACTACAGCTCCTGACAGAGTCCCTTTCCAGCTTCCCTGTAAACCCCTTCAGATACTGGAAGGTTGCTATATCTCCACACAACCTTCTCTTCTCCAGGCTGAACAGCGCCAACTTTCCCAGCCTGTCTTCGTAGGTGAGGTGCTCCAGTCCTCTTATCAACTTCGCAGTCCTCCTCTGGACTAGATCTACTGTGTATGTTTTTTCATGTTAAACTTTGCATATTAGGTAGTCCAGTAAGTCAGTGCAGTGGCATGCATGTAGAGACCATCCATGCAGAAAATCTGCTTTTCAGAGAGAACTATGGTCCTAATGAAGTTGACCAACTTCAGACAGCTTTGAAGTAGTGTGCGCTAACTCGATTCATATTTTAAATATTTGTCTCAAATCTTCCAGTGCACATACACATCAATAAACAAATTTAAAAAATTCAGAATAACAAAAGACTGGGACCAGGTCAAGATGAATACTGACAATTTTCTCATCTAGAAATAAGTTTAGGAAAGTGTTACGAACAATGATGGCTTTTATAGTGGCTAAGATGTTGTTTAAGCTCATGAGGATTTTCATTCATAGGAAGCATGCTAAGGGAAAGAGCAAAAAAATCCAATCTACTATGCAGACTCCCTAGAGGGTGTTACAATCACACAGTGCAGAACACATCCATGTCCTTTCTAGGAAGGTTTGAATTAGATATGTAATGGGTTTGTTACCCTCCCTGAGAGGGAAACGGAACTAGGATAGATCATCTGATGTATATTCTGCCAATAAGATATTCCATCCCATGTTATGTCACTTTGGATATAAAAGAGACAGGAAGGAAGCGAGCCTTCCCTTCTCTTCCAGATAGCTCCTTGGATGGCTGATTTGTTTCTTTGGAGAAGGACAACGTTTTTTTGGGGAAGTAGTTTTTGTTGTTAGTTCTTTTCTGTGGTATATAATGTTGCTAATTTTACTTTTTTCCCCTCTCTGTGTAAATATAAAGCTATTTTTCTTTGCAGTTTTGGTCCCGTAGTTTTTTTTCCTTTTTCTTCTTTCCCTCCTCCCCTCTCCTTTGGGGGGGGGGGAAATGGGCACAGGCTCAGTTGATACTTGGTGTTCAGCCAAGGTAAACTACGACAGATATTAGGAAGAAATTATTTACTATAAGAATAGTGAAGCACAGGAAAAGGTTGCCCACAGGAGCACAGGAGTTGCCCAACCTGGAGGTGTTTAGGACCAGGTTGAATGGGGATCTGAGTAACCTGGTCTAGTGGCAGGTGTCCCTACTCCTGGCAGGGGGGTTGGAAGTATTAGTCTAAGTTATCTTTCTATGAAAGTTTTCATGAGTAGCTTTTTTCCAATAGTCCCTTTTAGGGACAGTCTAATAGATGAGGTCCTTGAACAATCTAGAGATACAAGTAGCGCTGTCTTAGGAAACAGAGTATACTGAGAAGATTGCTAAATGCAGACTGATGTGGTAAAAATATCCTTAATGTTTCATTTATATAAAACCAGTAAGTATGGACTCTAGCTTTAAAAAGGAAGAAAAGACATATCCTATAATTAATTCTATCACATACCTGGGGTGTAGCCCTTTCTTTCAATTTTGGCACTTAAAGATATTGGGCCTGAGGTACAAAGCCAGCAACATAGAGTCTTTTCTTTTGTGCCTGCTTGGGGTGACTGCAAGAAGAGGAAAAGTATTGTCCATCAAATTAGGAGCTCCATGAATCCCTTCAGGTATTTAAAGCAACACAGGAAAATAATAATTT